ACAGAGAATGGCGTGATTGTAACTCTACTTGGAAGGACAGAGAGGGGGAGAAGGATAGGTAGGTTCCTCCCCATGAGCGTCAAAAGCCCAACGATTCTGAGGGTTGTCATACGGAAGATATGCTCTCGCGCATTCTCACCAAAGTTGAATGGTACGATAAAGTATTAAAATAAATGAAGAATGATGTATCGACTCTCAACCAGACGGTGACTTCTCACTCAGTCTCAATTAAGTAGTTGGAGACCCAAATGGGTCAAAAAATTTCTCATTTAAACCCAAGACAACATGGGGGGTTGCCTAGTGATACTATTGCAAACCCCAAAAATGAAGCTTCAATGGGTATTTGCATCGTGCCACGACGTTAATTAAGGCGTTTCTTGGGAGGCAACCCAAGTTTTTATTGTTTTAAGTTTGACTTTGAATAATAGGTGTTGATTGTGTAAATTGAAAAGTGGAGTGTGTTTGATAATGTGAAGGTTGGCGAGCCAAAGAGTCTAGTCGACGACTCGCTAAAGATGTCGGTGAGCCTGACTTAGACCGCCGTTGGACCAACAAAAATCTAAAGTGGGAGTCTATAAAACTCGATGGGCCAATGGTTGAATCGGCAACTCACCGAATAGGTCGGTGAGCCCGATTTTGTCCACTGTTTAGACCCCCAAATTGACTAGAGGTCCTGTAAAACTCGGTGAGGTAAGTTACCACTCGGCGCATTGCCGAGTGGTTCATTGTGGTCGACTAATACCGCTGAAAAGGCCGCAAACTGAAAGATTTTAAAAAGCCAAAGGATTTAAAATTTCAAAATCTTTCATATTCTCTCATTTCTAACCTCGTACACTCACACCCGCGCTCCAGATTTTCCATATTTTCCCATTTTTATTTCTTTTTTCTCTTGATCTCGTGTTTGGATTTGGATTGCATTGCCGCCTAGCGTATCAAATTCTAAATTCACAAATCAAGTTTGATTTCTGAACCCCGAAGTCTCGATTAGTGGTTGAACTCAAATGCCTTTGATAAATATGTGTTGTTTTGTGTTGGGTCTATGCTTAAATTGTGCTTAATATGGTTGATTGCTTATTTAGTGTTTCAAAATTGTGCCTAATTGCTTAAAAAGTTTATTTCCCGAGTTTCGTGTGTTAAAATTGATCATAAATTGTTGGATTGCAGTTTTTTTATGTTAGGTCTAGTTGGGTGAATTCTGATTAACCCCAAATTAAACCAAATGACGTAATTTGCCCTATCAAATAGTAGTTGACGTCATTCTTAAGGGCAAAAGTCGTCAAATGGCCAATTTTGGCCAAATCGAGGGAAGTCTGAGTACCCCGGAGGTGTGGGTCTTATGGGTTTTGTATGAATTGCATAATGTGTGAGTTTGATTTTGATTTCGGGGGATGCGAGCTTGATTTTGGAAATTGGGGTTGAAATTTGGCACGTAGGGTAGTTTGGCAAGCTGGGTCGAGCTCGCCAAACGATTCGGCGCTTCACCAATGTCCTCCTTGATCGCCCTTAATTTTGTAATTTGGCTTAGTTAGAGTATGTAACTTTCGGCGGGAAGCCTAAGCTCGCCGAGTTCACTCGGCGACTCGCCAAATGTTTCCTTTGATCGCCCTTTCTGTGCCCCTAACCCCTAAAACATACTGTTAATTTTTGCGGGCTAGTCTAAGCTTGCCGAGTGGTGTCGACAATTCACCGAAGGGCCCTAAACATTGCCGACCTGCCTTGTTTCTGAAAACTTTTCAAGCCAATCCTTTCGGCGAGCGCAATCTGGCTCGCCGAAGTGACTTGGCGACTTGCCAACTGGTTCAGCAAGTCTTTCTGCAACCTTCATTCTGCACATCTTTCTTCAATTTTTTCTAACTCTTTCTGATGTGTTTCGCAGATATGGCTAGGACTAATTGGGATGAAAGTGGCATGCCGCCCCTCAAACGAGCATGGGGCGTCGTGATAAATGAGAGAGTTACAGCTTCCAATAAAAAGGGCAAGAAAGCACCTCCGAAGGGAGGCAAGGGAAAGGGAAAAACACCTATTATCGAGAGACCGGAGCACAACTCCGGTAGTGATAGGGAATATGCTGATTCTCAAGCCTTATTCTTCGAGCCTGAGGATGACCAACCACTTCAGACCTGGCGATCTGAGATTCGTGCTAGGGTTCGTCAAGGTCCATCCAGGATCCCGGAGTCTACCCCTCCTGCTGATACAATTCTAGCTCCGGCACAGATGCCAGCACCACCAGTTCAAGGTCTTCCTCCCCAGTTACTCATTAGGCTAAAGGTCGAGGTACTGAGGACCATTCTTGAAGAGAAGAGATTGCCTATGGATGGTGTAGTGGACATGTACCATTTTGTGTGGGACGCACGCTAGTACCACAAGTTTGACATATTCAAAAGACCCCGTGGCCCATATATTCCCACCTGGGTACGAGAGTTCTACACTACATACGGTGATCTAGCACCCCAAGAGAAGAAGAAGGCCAGTGCCTTCAGACCAGTATAGTCCGTGATGGTTTAGGGGAAGATAGTGGGATGCAGCAGTGATCATATTAATGCTGCACTTAACAGGGCCACAAATATTGAGCATGATTACCAGAGCATGATTACGACACAGAATCTGGAGGACCTCAAGGGATGGCTTGCTCCCCTCATTTCTGACATTACCCCGAGATGGATTGAGGACGGATCTCCTATGGAGAAGAAGGACTTGAACATAGTAGCTCGGTATTGGTTTAGGTTCATCAGCAGTTCTATCATGCCCTCACAGAATGACTCCATCCTCTGCCACCCAAAGGCGGCCTTTCTCAGATCCATCATCGCCAAGAAGCGGCTCAACTTGGGACTGATTATAGAGTAGGAGATGGCCATGAGATCCAAACAGCGCTAGACATCCCTTCCTTTCCTAGGGCTTATTATAGAGTTATGTCGAAGGGATAGAGTTCCAGTGGACAAGAAGAGGGACATTGAGGTCACACCCACATCCTCTACTGACATCCGGCGCATTGAGGCCAAGTACATATGAAATGAGGCAGATAGGAGAAGAGAAATTCTGGTGGATATATCCCTGTCCGGTGGATACATCCCCGAAGGTTGATGTTGAGTCTATACTTGCATAGGAAGCTTTGCCTACTCCGGCCTTCAGGTACATCTACTTCCACTCCTTCCCTACCCCCTAGAGCTACTGCTGGTTCCACTGCTGCTAGGCCTCAGATTACCCAGGCCATGCTCCTCAAGATGGGGCACCTAGCCCATTCTACAGATGTGTAGGCTTCCCAGCTTGAGGTCGAGGTGCCCTAGATGATTGAGAGAGCCATCACAGCTGCACTCACACCACTCCAGGCTTCAATTGATGCTCTCACAACAAGAGTACTAATTTGTGAGAGATGACAGGGAGTTACTACTAAGGTTACGACTTTGAAAGATGAGGTTTTTGATCTTAGGAAGGATGTGGACCATTTGAAGTCCACATACTTCACTTCACTGTTTGAGTCGGCAGAGGCTCCTGATGATCCGGGTTTAGATGTCCCGGCCAGTTCTGATATGCCTTCGGCTACCACCGGAGATAAGACTATGGAGGATGTGGCTGCTGTTGAGTCAGAAAATGAGACAAATAAGGAGCAACTTGATGTTCATAAGGTGACCATTTATGGAGACTTGCCTGATTTAGAGGAGACGATAGTACAGTCAGTCATTCAGATATCATTGGCAGACACTTCCATGACAGGCTCTAGTGGAGCCATTATTGATGTTACTCCGGGCACTGATGCCCAGACCCAGAGTGTGACCCCGGGCATTGATTCCCCGACAGACGGAGCTACTGTGTAGAAATGATCATTCTTTACCTCCCTCTCTATTGTCTTTTTGATTTCTTTATTTTAGTTGTATTTGAGGACAATTGCTTTTTTTGTGGGTGGGGTGAGGTATTTTCATACCTACCTCTTCTGATTCTGTTTTATTTGTGAATATTGGGTATTTTGATCTATATATGTATTTTGATTTCAATTTTGTAGATGTTTGAGCTTATGGCTCCTTGTTTTGAATGGAAATGGTTTTGCCCTATTTTTTAAAATGTGTGCCACCTCTATTGTTTGTGAATGTGGTTGTTGTTGTACAAATTTAAGTATCGGTTATGATCAATACCGATGACTTGAATAGTCCTCTTAATTGAATGAAATGAATGTGCGGCTACGATGAGGCCAATGAAGTTGGATAGACAATGTGTGAACTTTTAGCATCTCATTGTGACTAGCCAGTTATCGAATGAGTCTCTTGTGTTGAACATTGCACACTAGCAAAAGTGTGGAGTCTAGTTTGATATTGGTGTCAATACCTTGTGTGATGAGCTTTCCTTGAACATTGTATGATGACACCTAGAATTTGCCTCGTTGGTCCGGTTGACTAAGTTATGCAAGCACTAGAAACGATCTTAGGCAACAATTTTGAAGAGTGAAAACAATTTGACAATATACCTCTTTTGTGGCCAACCTTGTGAGATGTGTGAACCTTGCTTGAACCCCCTTGAGACTTATCCCTTTATCTTGGAAGAAACTTGAACAATTGTGACCCCTCTTTATCCATTCACCTATAACTCTCATGAAGTGTAGTGTGTTTGAATAGCCAACTTAGGCCAAAAGCCTAAGTTGGGGTGTGGTGAAAAGAGAAGAAAAATCAAGAAGTGTGAGAAATCCCCCTTTGAGAATAATTTTGAAAAAAAGATGGAACCCCTCCAATATAATAAAAAATAAGAGAAGAGAAAATAAGCAAAGAAAAAGAAGGAAAAAACTGTGAAATAAAGTGATGAAACTTGCAGAAGAAATGGGGTGTCCGGTAATTCATAAGAAGTTGAATAATGGGGTGGATTATGAGCATGTTTGAAATGTTAAAGAAAAGGAAGAAAGTGATGTTCAGGCTACACTTCATGAGGGTATAGCCACTGAGCCTAAATGATCATACCTTTACACTCAGCCTCGTTACAAGCTTTGAAAAGACCTTTGTGATCTTTAAGATATTATTCTAGGACCTAGTGACAATTTGGTTTAAAGGCGGTGGGGAAATCGGATCAGCAGGTATAGCAGGAAAGAGATCAACTGCTTTGTTTGAGGGATTGAAACTCGGATAGGATGGTAGGGGTGGAGGAGTGGGCAAGTTTCTACTTGTGTTTTTGCGTCGCTGATATGTAAGCAATGGTTTATGTGGAGAAATTTCATGGGAAGAAGGAGGCAGAGGAAGTTGTGAAAAAGAAAGAGATGAGATATACAAATTACATGATGTTTCTGCAGCTGCTGGTACTTGGTCGTTGTTGTTGGAGTGGACATCATTTAGGGAAGAGGTGGTAGTGTTAGAGTTGGACTCTACAGGGAGTGGAATAAGTGATGGAATAGAGAGAAGGGGACTTTGAGTTGCTGTTGGATTGCCCTTGTCAGATGCAACAACTTCCCAACTAAATTGGGAAGTATATTTTCGTAAATGAATGAACATTTTTTTAAAAGGAAATTCATTTTCAAAAATTGTACATCATGACTGCCGAAAATTTTGGATTGAACGGGGTCAAGACAAATATGAGCATGGTGAGTTTGAGAGATACCTAAATACACGCATGGGTGGATCGAGGCTCAAGTTTATATTTTGTATAAGGTTTAAGCCAGGGGTAACAAAGATAACAAAAAACGTTGAGGATGGTATAGTCAGGAGATCGACAAAATAATTTTTGGTAGGGAGACTCATTACGCACGATAGGAGTGGGAAGTCGGTTAATAAGGCAGACATCATACTGACAGCCAAACGACCAAAGATCAGATGGTAAGGATGCTTCATGAAGAAGGGTTTTAGCGGTTTCAAGAATGTGACGATGTATGCGTTCAGCTATGGCAACACGTTCTGGTGTGTAGGGAGGTGGAATTAAGTGTTCAATGCCATATTTATGAAGATAGGGCTAAAGACCTATGAACTCACCACCGCCATCTGTATAAAGTGAAGAAAAAAAATTCGAATAAATTTTCTACTAAAGGATGAAACTGTGGAAATATTGATGCAACCTCACTTTTATGTTTAACTATATACAACCAAGTATACTTGGAGTATTGGTAAACAAAAATACAGTAATATAATTTCTTATCAAGTGACAAAACAGGGGATAGTCCCCATATAAATCACTAAAGATAATCAGGAGAGGAGTATGACTGGATAAAGTGAGTCGTTGAAATGGAAAACGATGCGATTTATTAGAAGAATAAGCATTACAAAATTTAAATTTTTCTTTGCTAGCAACAACGGGTAAAGAAAACTTTTGCAGAATAAAATGTAAAATCCTAGAGTGGGGATGACCCAATCGATAGTGCCAGAGTTGAAATGGGGCTTGTGTGGAAGAAAGGTGAACAGATGGTGTCCTGGATTGCAGATAAGGCCACTCATATAGCCCATCTTTTATTCCGGCCTTGTACCAGCGACTTCAAAGTATGCAAGTCTTTCTCAACAAAAGTAAATGGAAAGAATTCAATAGAAGTGAGGTTATCTCGACAAAACTTAGCAACATAAATGAGATTCTTTTTTATGGATGGAGCACACAGTGTGTCAGGAAGCTTAAAAGAAATTTTAGATGCTTGAATTATAGTTGAACCAATATGAGTAATAGAAATAGTTTTACCGTCACCCATAGAGATTTCTTCAGTTCCAGTATACTCTTGAAGGTTGTGAGGTTCGGAAATGACATGGTGAGTTGATCCAGAGTGGTGAACGCAAGAGTTTCCAGATGATTTCTAGCCAGATGCAAAGTGAGACTTAGCTTCAAAATGATTATGTGACTTAGAGTGACAAACATCAGCCATGTGACCAAACTTTTGGCACAATTGTCATTTGACAGATTGCTTGGATGGTCTACTATTTTGCTGATTATTGGAATTCAATTGCTGATTGTTGGAATTCCATTCATGAGACTGCGATGCTTTCCATGACTGATTGTTAAAGCGAGTTTTGTTCCCGTTGAATTGTGGAGACGTGTGGGAATTTTGGGCAACAACAAATGTGATCATAGAGGATGGTTTTTCCAGATCTTGATGTTTTAGGAACAACTCATGATCTGTGAGCTTGTGAAATAATTCTTCAAAGCTTAAAGAAGAGTCTCGTGCGCGTACCGCAACAAAGATTTCATGGTACTTGAGTCCAAGGCCACTTAGAATTTTGACAATAAGTTCATCTTCATTGAAAGGTGAACCAGCAACTTTGAGAGCATCAGAAAGAGAACGAACTTCCTTTAAGTATTTTGCAATGGTTTTGGAACTCTTCTTGGTGTTTTGCAATTGATCTCGCAAGATAAAGATGCGAGTATGGCTTTTGTTGGCGTACGCTGTGTGAAGGTGTTCCCACACTTTGTTAGCAGATGGTACTGCTGCAACAATCGAATCAATTGTAGGATCGACGGATGCCATCATTGCTTGTTGGATTAATTGATCTTGAGAGAACCAAATCTGATACTTGGAATTTGGTACAATGAGATCATTTTGGGTAATAGTAGGTGATGGAGCAGGTGTGGTTCCATCAAGATGTCCCCTGAGTTGATGTCCATTTAGTAGCATCACAAGTTGCGCTTTCCAATTGGAGAAATTGAGGTTACCTTGTAGTTTAATATGTAACTGAGCAATGGGGCTAAATTGTATCACATGAGTGGTGGTAGAAACTGTAGAGCTTCTGACATCAGTAGCATCAGTAACTAGAGCCATATATGAGAAAGCTTAAAGGCAACATAATGGATCTAACTCGGTGGAGATTATGGAGGCTCTGATACCATATAAATATTGAGATGAGAAGGAGGTCAAAAGATGATCTTATTGAAATCTGACAGCCATCTTAAATACATAAATTGGATCTAACTCGGTGGAGATTATGGAGGCTCTGATACCATATAAATATTGAGATGAGAAGGAGGTCAAAAGATGATCTTATTGAAATCTGACAGCCATCTTAAATACATAAATTACAACTAACTTAAGCTAAATTGTAGGCCACTACTGTAGGCAACTACTCCTAGATATGCTCCACATCAGGAGACTTAGTCAATGTATAATAAAGCAGTAAATGAAATAGATAAAATACTACCCTATGACTTGGTCAAAAGCAGGTTGAAACTTAAGATACCTTAATACAACTTACATCTATCTTACCTACCAATTAACCAGCAAACAAAGGCTGCAACCAGAGGCGGACCCACATATATATATAGTTGATAAAATGATAATATATTGATTGTGCATCCTTGTACCCAAAAGTCACTTTGGCGCACTGGTCGAAGTCGCCATTGTAACACCCCAAAAATTTCTAAGTTAAGACTCGAATAATTCTTCATTTATTTGTAGGGTCATAATGGGTGGTTCTTAAATTTTCCATATGTGTAAACGTAAATTCTTTAGTATGGGAATGATTTTGTATATCAATTAAGGTCACTAGAAACTCCTAGCACAAAATAGAGTTAAAAGTTTCCTTATCGATTAAGTTTTGATGTAAGATTCTACTTGGGTCAACTTCAAACGATCATATCTCTTAGAATATAAAGATTTACGTGACCCATAACCTATCAAATTAAAGGTATTTAAATCTTCTTTCCAACGCCACCAATTTCGCAATAATGCGAGGTTTGAGTAAAAAGTTATGACCATTTTAATAACTTGATACAATGTAGTAACGAATTAGCCGATTGCGAAAACATTAAAAAGAGTCCTTTTTGTCTTTTTTACCTCTAAGAAAACCCTTAACGAATTTCCTGACTAATTAAAGATCCAAAACAATGAGACTTTAATCTCTTAATCCCCCATTCTCTTCTCTCTAAAAACCCCAAGGAAAAATCAAAGTAGAAGACTCCATTCAAGATTCTTTCAATCTTTTTCAAGATTCTTCTTCAAGGCAAGTCTTTCTCCAAGAACTCCATTATTTCCAACTCAAATTCCTCCATACAATTATGAAATCGCTAATGAAAATCATAATTATTGGCCATAGAGTTTCAAGAAACTAATTCAAGAAATCTCAAAAAAGGTTTCTTGATTTTCTCCTTCAAGCTAGGATTTCAAGGCTTCTAATCAAGTTCTTCTTCAAGATTCTTCACGAACCTTGTTATTCCAGGTATGTAAGTCTATCATAGTGTTGGACTAGTTTGTCCTCACTCCCTACATCTACTTTTAAATCAATAAAAGAGTAATCTAGGATTCTACCCCTATATTTGAGTATTCTTGATATGAGTTGATTTTGAGATCTAGATTCGTTTTGAAATTCTATTCCTAATTATTGAGTTGCTATATGTTATGCATTAAGATTCTTGGGTTGATTTGTTCATGTCTATATTTCAGCATGAACCCTATGAATTGAATATTTTTGAGATGAGTAGTATCGTTAAGTTCTGAGTTCTTGAGTTCTAAGTACTGAGTTTCCATAGTGCTATTCAGATCCCTGAGTTGAGTCGTTCATGTCCATAATTCCGCAAGAACCCTATGAATTGAGTTATACATCTTGAGAAACTTTTTTAAGTCAACACTTGAGTTTTAAAGTGAGGTTTTGAGGAAGTAAAGATGAGTTTTGAGAAAGAGTTTCTAAAACATGATTAGTATGACAATCGAGTATGCCATCAATATTTAAGCAGTATGGTATCTAGTTATGCCATCAATGTTTATGCAGTATGACTTCCCGAGTCATCAATGATCATATCACAATATAATTTTGATATATTTTTTAGAAAGAGTTTTTAAGTATGGATTGAGCTAGAGTATAAGGGAACTAAGTATTCCCAAATGTATCATTTTTTACATTGATAAAAGAAAAACTTTGATTTCTAAATGAGTTATGAGTTCAAAAGATATTTCAAGAGTAGTTACCTCTTTTAAGAAGGTAGTTTGAGCAATTATCTCAAACTAGAGGAAGATTTATGTTTTTAAACATATGAACATGAGTATATATATTATTAGGAGTAGTATTGAGCACCGATATGGGGATGAGTTCAGACAATTCAAAATTCTCATAAACCATGTATGCCAACATGGGTAAAGGATCATACTTTTTAGCTGATTCCTTATTGCTTATAAGCATAGCTTAGTGGATCCACTTAGTTGAGGTGTTCTATACCCCGACAAGGTATAGGACAGTTCTGGCAGCGTGGGCGAGATGATGTATCATCACATAGCTCATAGTGATGGTTGTCGATTAGAGAATCTCTCAAATAGAGTTAAAAGTGTATTTTTATTATATCACTTATTATGTTGAGTTTCAGAGGTGAGTAAGTGTTTTTGTAAAGATTTAAACGATTTCATTCCTTTAATCATTTATATTCAGTTGATTTTATGTTTTATCTATTGCAATCATTTCATTCAGTTATTTGTTATTCAACTATATTACATACTCATACATTCAATGTACTGATCTCATTCAACATGCATCTTTTAATGATGCAAATATAGGTTCTTAGGATCCTCAACAAGAGTCTGTTGAGATCACTTCATCCGCTCGTCAGATTTTGAGTGAGACCTCCTTGCTTTCGAAGGACAACTTTATGAGTTGTTAGTAGTAGTTCCCTTGAGGAGTCGTGGGTCTTGTCCCGACACTCATCTTTGTATAGAAGAGGCTTCATAGAAAGACAGTTTTGGAGAGTCTTTTAGTTTCAGATGTTTTATTTAAACTTATGTTTCATACTTAGTATATTCAGTAAAGTTTTGAGATTCAATCAACTATTTTTTTACGTTTCTTTCAATTTGATGCTTATGTATGCTTGAGTTAATCTTCCGCTTGTAGTCATCCATGATAAGGGTTCTCTTGGGGACCAGCAATCGTTCTCGAGTGTCGTCCACATTCAGGGTGTAGACTCGGATCGTGACAGTCATATTGATCCACGACTGCGCGAGTTCAATTCCCATGAAAGGTAACTCTTTTTTAATTTAAAATCAGCTTTTTCTTTAGAGTTAACATTTTTAAAAATTTCTTTTATTAAAAGTCGTATTTGCCACCTCATCTGGCCCTACCCCCTTTCTTAACCACCCCTTTTTGCCATCTCATTTGAACCCATTCCTTTCTTAATTGAAATTAAAAACAAATAAAAGCCCTAGCACAATTCTAAACAAAATATAAGACTGCTAGAAAATCTAAAACTTACAAGTATTCTTCACTGCATAATTGAAGTCCTACTCATATTATCTCTACATAAATTGGTAAGTTCTTCTTTTTAAGGGTATTTGTTTTGTAAGAATTTGTTGTTGATTCTTGTGATTTGAAATGGATAGATTTTTGATGAAACATAATTCTTCTCAACCAAGTGCTAGTTTTAGAGATGATTCTTTGTGTTTTATAGATGAGTTTGATTTACAGTCACTTAAATCGGATCTGAGAGAAAGAATATTCATTGAGGCCTCAATTGCTTTGCTAACCTTACCCTTGAGTCACTCTTAGTAGTGTCCCCTCTATCTTCAAATCCTGAGTTCGCCTCTTGCTACAACTATGTTGAATTAGTCCTTGATCTAACAACTTTTGAACCATCTTTTCTATAATATCCTTTTGCATTGGTGAGTACCTGTAAGGTATACTATTTATTGGATTTGCTCCTGGTACCAAAGGAATTTGATGATCAAACAAAGGTTATCCAAAGAAGTTTGATATCCTTGTATTTCTTGTTAAGGCTTGTTGGACCTTTATCTGGCTAGTTTTCCACAACTCCTCTAATCATATACAATCGATCATGTCTGTCACATATTTTCTGTAAAGCCTCAAAACTGACTAGCTTAAAGTTAGATGTACAGCATGTAATGTAAACAGTTTGTCATGATGTTCAAACTCCATGATGAGCCATTTGAAATTAAACTTGATATACCCTAAATCATATAACCATTGGACTCCAAGTACCATATCACAAGTTCCTAATGGTAATAAGAGAAAATAAGTTTTGAGCAGTACCTTACAGTAATCATTCAACACTAATACAACCTTTGGAAACTGGAGGATTACTTGTTCTAGTACAATATTAAGTTGCTATTGATGAACCCGAACCAATATCGAGCTCTAATTTTGATATCCTTCATCTTTATCTTCACTCCATCACCCAACCAAAGAAGAGTAATATCAGAGATTAAGGGTTCCAACAACCCCTTCAAGGTATCTAAACTATGCTTTATACGCAACTTGTACATTTCTGCCCTTTTGTCATTCAGTCCCAAGACATCATTGATTGCTCCTCGATGGCATTGAACCATCTTCCCCTGGATTTTGACTTCATCGAGGAGTCTCCAAACAAAGCCCTTCCTCTTTTTGAGAATTTCTTTGCATAGGCAACGTATAACTCTCGAACCCACATATGGGGGTCGAGCTTTTATGGATGAATCAAATTCGTAGAATTTTATTGTATCCCATATGGATGGGTAGTCACTAACAACTCCAACCTTTGACAACCATCTCTCCTCTAGTATTGTTCGCTCCCCTGCTGCTTTGAGCCTATTGTGGGCCCTTGGATCTATCACCGGGAGCAACTTTAAAGTATGTGAAACTGGATTTCGCAGCAACTTGGAATGGATTGCGTTCATTTTCCTAGGTGTCTCCTCCACAAACTTTTTCTACTTTTTACTCACACGCATAGAGGTGTGTGGAGTGACTTGTTGTTGGCCAGAGGGTTCATTTATCACCTCTTCTTTGTGCCATTTAATAGGAGGAAAAGAGGATTCATGGTTGGACTCAGACTCTGAAGAGACAACCCTTGAAG